CGTATCTGCAAGTTGAAGCTCAGTTTAGACATAAGATTTTTCGGATGGACGGCAAACATTCCGACAAAATTTCAGCTGCTGTTTTTCGGCTAGTTTTCGAGTTGGTACTATACTAATTACGAACTTTGACGTGACCGTATATGTGGTATAAGCGCGTGCGACAGCTAAATTTCCACTCGCATAATCTCAGTTTTTATTTGCTTTTACCTTCTTCAATTTTTATTCATCGGTTAGAATTCTTTGATTTTGCTTTTTTTTTTTTTCGTTTTTTGTGCGTTTTGTACCGTGCAGCAGCTGCACAAAACGTATATTATCATGGGGTTGTTTGTGTGTGTATCAGCAGCAACTCGTCCGCAACTTTCAACTCGAGAATCACAAAAGCTAGGAAGCTGAAAATTTAGAGGTATGTTCCCCGCCTATGTGTGACCGCGGAAAATTTAAATTCAGCCTCTCGGTACTCGCGAGTAACGCGTGTAGCCCTGTAAAAGTTTTGGCAGGTAAAATTGTTATCACAGGAACGATGGAAACTAGAAGACTGAAATTTTGTAGATATATCACATATCCATGTGCAACCCAGAAAATTTAAATTCAGCCTTCCTTTGACCGCTGGTAACAAGTACTGCCCCGAAAAAGTTTTGGTGGGTAAATTATTATCTCGAAAACCACAGAGTCCAGGAAGCCGGAATTTTGAGGTGACACTCCCTGCCCAGTAAGTCCTTGAAAATTCAAACTTAGCGTTTCCGCGCTCTCGGATATCACTTATGGTCACCTGAAAATTATTATCTCGGGAACTGCGAAAGTTTGGAATCTGAAGTTTTAGAGTGTTTCCCCCATCAACATACAACCCCCGCAAATTTGGATTCAGCTTTCATGCAACCCTGGCACCACGTACGGCCAAGTGAAAGTTTTGGCGGAGAAATTGTCTCGTAACCTGCAATAGCTAGGATACAGAGGCAAATTTCCAACGTCGCCGTGGAGATTTTGGCCGAAAAAATCATTATCTCGGAAGTCAGAAGAGTTAGGAAGCGGAGAATTTCAGCTGAATGTTTCCTGCCTAAGCAAGGGCTTCACAAACTTGAAATCAGTTCCTAAGTATGCCGAGGTCCCACGTATGACGTGAAAGCTTTGTCTCAAAGATCATTCGAAAGCCAGAAAATTAGGAAATTGCAATTTTGGAAGGATTTCAAATTTGCGGATTTCAAACCCTTCGAGATTTCAAATTCAGCTTTCATGTGCCGGTGCGTGAAATTTTTAACTATTTTCAACATTTCAATTATTTCTGCACAGACAAAGTATAAAGCGGTGAAGATCATTAAAAGGCAATCGTTCGGTGGACGGAATTGCACAGAACGCATGATCGCACCGGCTATTCTGGTGCGCGTTGCCATTT